TCTCTGTTAAACATTGGTGATGATTATTTGTTATCTGTAGCTTCATTTACTGCTCTCTGATAACTCATAAGTAGCAGTGGAAGACCTTGATACCGCGTTTCCTGATGTCCATCCATATAAATAGCTAATTGATTTCACTGTCTATGGCCATATCTCTCCATCATGCCCGGGTCTTTTTATTTTATTCCAGGAATTTTACATATTTCCACAAACAAGGCTGACTGAAAGTTCTGTCACTGATATGAATGGAGCTTCATAGGCATTCACATCTTGAAATTAATTCACTGACGAGTTTCTTACTGAGTTTCTGCTTCCTGGTTAGGATCATCATACGCTTCTGGCTATTTGTTATAATAGTCCATTATAACCATAATGTATTTATTCCCACAGTTACTCTGTGGCAGAAGACCAAGCATATTGGCAGCAACTCTTTCAATTAGTGATCCAGCACAACACTGCTTTAGCTGTTAATATTGTTTATTTTGTTAACTTTTATGCTCACAGCATAGTTCACAGGATCTACACAAATTCACTACAGATCCCCAAAATTCTCTCTCAGGTGTCTTCTTAACACGCCCCCCAGTGGCACAGCGGAATGTCTGCGGATTTACAACGCTAGAATCCGGGTTTCGATACCCGTGGTGGGCAGAGAACAGATAGCCCATTGTGTAGCTTTGTGCTTAATTACAAACAAACAAAATCTTCTTAACACCTAATTGTCCATCCACTGGAAGGTTGTGGAGAATATGGAATGCTGCAGAATATAGAGATTGTGGAAGCACCAACTGTAGTCATTGTTTCTTTCCACTAGTATCTTCCCATTTCCGACATAATAAACCCTCTTGTCGGCATAATGAATCCCACTGTGCCCAATACATATTTGTCTTTAGTATGTATGGAGCAACTGTTTTTGGCATGAGGGTCTTTTTGCTCTATTCTTGGATTACTGAATAACTGGTTTGAAACTCGTAATATCTTGTTCCTGAGCATCTTTCAATTGAGTGTTGAACTACACTAGTTCATTATCTATATCTTGTGTATGCCATACATTGGATTATACTTTGCTGTACTTTATGTTGGTAACCTCTACTATTTTGTGCTTCCATTTTTTCACAGTTTTTACATTCTTCAACAACACGTGGTATGTGGGATGACATTCCAGCACTTCCATAATACTTTCCAGGGTGAGACACAATGCTACAGTTATAGCCCTGGAGTTTTTGGAGTCATCTTGCTACTTCATCTTCCAGATTGCAAATATTCATCATTCACTTCAATGCTGCATGATCTGCCTGAAGTATAAATATTTGTTCATATAGGTAATGATGGAAATGACTTAGGGCTTGACACATAGTAACTCTTTCTGAGTTGAACAATACCTCTTTTCTTTGCAGCATTTATTGCCTTGTCATATTGGAAACCATATGTTCGTTATTATGTTGTACTTGTGACAAAACTGTTCACACTGCAAAATCACTGGCATCTTCATTTAAAATGAGTGGATCTTCTAGAGTTAAATATGCAAATAAAGGAGTAATGGTCAATTCATTCTTCAGTTTGTTCAATGTTTGTTCACTGTCAGCATTACAACAAAATTTATTTGAGTTTTCATGTAATTTGCATAGAGGATGAACTATGTCAGAGAATGATTTTACAAAATGGCGATAGTAAGGACACAATCTAAAAATATACTTACCTCATACAGGTTCTGTGGTATTGGCCAGTTCTGGACAGAATCAATCTTCGATGGATCTGTAGACGTTTCATCTCTGCTGACTATGCACCCAAAGAAATTCAACTATTCACAGAAAATTTCACACTGTTAGGAATTAAGCTAAGATTTCCTTTCCTCATCCAATCCAGAACTTTTCTTAGTCCATCATATGCCTCATCAAAGGTCCTTTCATGTATAATTATGTCATCCAAAAAGATGAGTACGGCGTTCCAAGTTAGGTCAGATATAGCACACTCCATTAAATGTTGAAATTTAACAGATGCATTACATAATTCAGATACTATCCCAACAAACTGCTATAGTTTCTTTCATCCAGTAAAGGCTCTCTTCTCTCTACTTGCTTTGGTAACTTACACTTACCAATATCCACTCTTAAGAACCAATGTTGAAAGTCATTTTGATCAAGATAGAACATCCAAAGTAGAGTCAATCTTTGGCAGCAATACGGAATCTTTCTTTGCTACCTCATTTAACTTCTGATAGTCCACACAGAATCTTGTAAAGCCAGCCTTCTTTTTGACAAGTATAGTATGCGATGCCTAAGAACTACTATTTATTTCTATCTCTCCTTTGCATGTATCTCCCCACGGACCCAACAAACCTTCATGTCAAATTTGGTGAAGATACATCTACAGAGGGAGAATTAGTGGTGAAAAACGCCCATTACAATCGCAAAATGCAAAATACAAAACTGAAAATGTGTGTGTACGCCCGCACGGACCTAATAAACCTCCATACCAATGTTGGTGAAGATCCATCCACACCTTGTGAAGTAGTTACATGGACATACAACAGACAGTACTATTATATTATATAGATTCACTCCTTTAGGGATTTTCAGAACGTTTTATTAAGTACAATATTTAGAAAATGGTAAGACAACTTTCCACTCATTCTCAGTGTACAGTTGATTTCCCCAAACTGTCATTGTTTATAAGTATAAAGTATACTGATATCCACTCCAATCTGAATGTCATAACAAGAAGAGTTTATCTACAAATTGAACTGAAATTGGTGTTTAAACCTTCCATTCAGATCCAAAACTTTTCTCAACGATAAGGATAAGATTTGACTTTTGCTGTCCAACGTATGAGGGCGTTTATATCGGTTCTATGACTAGATGACATTATTGAAGAGCACAGTAATCCAAGGTCTAAAGACAATTAAAACATTGTTCAACAACCTATCTCTAACCACCCAAGAGGAAACCCTGAATACCTACCTGCCCAGGAAAGACAGACAGGCCAACAGGTCTAAAGACAATCAAAACATATTAAATATTATTTCAAAAGCTTAGAACGAATTTGTTTATTTTGTGGCATTTTGTGCAAAACTACCCAAGTTAGCTGTCCCTAATTTTGAAGTGATAGACTATGGGAAGGCAGCTAGTCAACACCACACACCACCAACTCTTGGGCTACTTCTTTCGCAACGAATAGTTAGATTGACGGTCACATTATAACGACGCCATGTCTGAAAGAGTGCGCATGTTCGGTGATGAAATTTGAGTTCGCGACTCGCAGATATCGCCAGGCCCATAGAATATAACAGATAAAATATAAAGTTTTTTTCTTAAGAAACATTTGATAACTAGTTGGACATTATAAAGATTTTGCATGTGCAATTTGAAAATTTTCTGATGCATAAAAGTATTTTTTATCTTAAAATGAAAATTATTTTATATGATAGATAGGCAACATGTGAAAAGAAAAAAAAAGTCATGAGAAAAACATTGCTTTACAAACTTTAAGACTTTAATAAAAAAATTGATAACGTAGGCGACTAATTTGATCTGGCATAAGAGGTCAGCTGTGAATAAACATCAAAACGCTACATAATTTATATTAGTAATTTAAGGTATTTTAAGGTTTCTAATTGTTACACTTACCTGCCTTTTAGACTTTTAGATTTGAAAATGCTCGCTACCTAAAGAAGGGCTCGGGAACAAGCTTAAAAGCGTACCATGATAAAAATTTATCGTGGAGCTTGGCTGGAAGTATAATTTTTGAACTACTTTCAAATTTAAAATGGCACTCAAACATATTAAAAATAATTACAATGTGACTTCTTAATTGTTGCATCTTCCTCTATTTAATAAGAACTAGTGGGAGGTCACTTCTGGGAAGCAAAACAATGAATTGTCTAGATGGAATTATAATTCCTAGTAAGATATCAGATCGTCTTTATACGAACTCACAAGTCTAAACAACATCTAAACGCTAAAACTCTAAACTTCACTACTATCTCAAATAAAAATTTTGTAACAGTCTAACATTTATTTCTATGTTTTAGCATTTATTATGACATTATCTATTGCCCTCTGGCGACTCATCAGTTAGGTTAGGGAGATTCATATCGCTATAATTTTGAGATTCATTCCTGCGTTGAATACGTCTTAGATAGCTCAATGTTATAACTTTTTGCTAAACAGAAAAAACTTTATTAATGGTTATTCTTCATTTTCAGCAAAAATCTTAACCTAACATTACGTACTGAATACAACATTACAAAGAATAACGAAAAAATATTTTTATAATACAGACGTACAATATATTTCATAATATATGATAGAAATTAATTTACAAAATAAAAGTATGACATCCTACTTCATAACATACCACAAGCTTGAACAATTGACTCCCAGACATAAGAACATTTTTTAAATGAGAAAAAAAAGTTTATTATTATATGATGTATAGATAAATTATAAATTTCCTGCAAAAAATGTTCCTAGGAAGATAATATAGGATCAAGAATGTGTACACTCAGAAATAATATAACTATGGAACCGATGACAAAATCCCGAAGGTAAACACAACATCAGCTGTCTGGTTTGAGTTATTTGTTTTAGTGCAAAACTAAACGCGGGACTATCTGGGATCTACTTCCCTCGAGGAATCAAGCCCTGGATTTTAGCATTATAAGTCCGTAAATTACCGTTGGCCTATCGAGCGACAAAGAAAAATGATGGTTCTGTAACACTGAAGGCAAATATTTACTTTTTTTGGTTTCGGTGATTATCCTGAGATCTGAATATCAACTTGAGTTATAAAAAGGAAAGAAAAAAAAAGGAGTAAAAGCAGTGAATAAAACAATATGCATTCTTTTTTCTCAGGCATTATCCACATCCTGAAGGCCCATAATATGTTCATCTGAAGAGTATTTCGACGTCATTAAAAACAGAAAAAAATAATTGACGCATCACCCTGTTTTCATGTGGGAATAATTACTGAATTTTACCAACTCAGGAAGTTTTGCGTTATGCGCATGTGTGATGTACTAACGCTGAAAAGAAACCAGCCATTGTTAACAAGTTAGCCTAACATAAATAGTTGGACGATATTAAATATTATTTTAACGTATGCAAATAATGAGTGATATGGCAGGAGACATTAAAGGTAGTCTGAAGAAAATAGTATATTTTAGTTTTTTGGATAGCTTTAAGTTTAAATTGTATTTGTATGGTTTACCAATTATAGTAACTAAGTAATACTAATAGTAATACATATAGAAAAGTACAGTAATATTAATAATAATATTATTAAAAGATTAATAATAATATCTATAATCTAGTATTATTATTAGTAGTAGTACTAATTAAAGCGTTAGTTACTACTACTTAGCACTAGATAACTAACAGCGTAACATAGTGTAACAAAAGTATCATAAGTTAACATTTAATTTCAAGTTCTGTCATTATAAACATAAATACTTAGTTTAAGAAGTTAAGAGTTAGTTAAGTCTTCATATTTTAGTGACTGAAATGTAATAAAAAATGAATGTTATATTTAAACTTAGTTATTCGGAATTGTGATAAATAAGCAGGTTTAACCCATTAGGAATTAAATATACATCTCTTTAATTTAATTTTTACTGTATTTGAATTTTAGGTATCAGAAGTTTTCAAACTTTTATATCTTAACCAGTGATGTTTATTCATAATTCTTTGTTAATGTTTTTTCACTTAGTAGAGAAGTAGGCATCAATTGATACAACATATTTTCAAATTTTAGTTTTAAATAGTTGTAACATAACTTTAATAGGTATTATTTCAGTCACACCAGGTGTCTTCTTGCATCAACTTCAAGCTTGTTTTCAAGTTTTAAACCATGAAGGCTTGGAAAATTGCTTGCCAAGATATCAGAATGATATTTAAATCAAACTTAGTGGTGCTCTTTATGTTTTTATTACTACATTAGGCATCTGTGGAAAAAGACCACAAAAATTGTAGGAATATTTTATGTTTTTTGGTTTTTTTTTCCCATTGAAGTAATGCTGCTTAGTGAAACCTGATGAACGGTATGAAATTTAGCATTTTGATTTAAATTTTCTAATAAACTTTTAAAAGTTTTGTGTAACGTTATATTAGTAATAAAAAAATGTTTTCTGTTTTCAGAAGCACAAGTGTCTTTTTGTGCTTTAGTCTTTGTAGCTAGAAAAGTAGTTAATGCTAAAAAAATTTATTCAGTTATTGAGCTATACTATTGGAAAAAGTTCAGTCTTGTTTCAGCATTGGAATAAGAGTTTCAGAGTTTCACAATTAAATCTGTAATTTACAGTAAACTATCCAACACTTTACACATTATTGGTTATTTTGACCATGCTGTTATGGCAACTTTTAACGGGGTTTTAACAGCGAGAGATCTATTGTTCACTTTGTTTGTACATGACTAAGATAAACCAGAAATTTGGGTTGCTTAGTATCATCAACATGTGATATAGTTTCATCTGATTTTATATGTTTGTATATCAAAATATCTTCCACTCATTGATATTTTGTGAGAAATAATCACCTTTTATACATTTTTAGCCTGTGTTATTTAATTTTGAAATGAAAAACAGGACTGAATTTTTTATTTTAGTGTAAAGAACTATTTTCGAGTTTTTGCTAAAATATTTTATTAAGAAATTAGAAATGACTCACAGGATCCTTCACAACTGGAAAACCGTTTATGTAGTATATGGTAAATCTAAAATAGAGACAATTTAGTGATGATCTGTTAGTCCAAGGGCCCATTACCCCGATAGTCCAAAGATGTTTTTTTTTAACAGTTAAAATGATAAATTGATTGTTTGGTTAAATTTGCGAAATGTTAAGACAAAAACACCTGCAGAGCCTGCGTATTTACACATCAGGATTGGATTTGGGAATTTAGCTCTTCTGAGAGAATGGGCATTCCAAATTCTCATTAAATTTGTTCAAAGCTTTTGGTCTATAAAATTATCTTGACACCAAGCCAATGCAATGAGCTGTACACTAAAATGTTTTTTGAAATATGTCTGTTGTTTGTATTTATAATGAGAGCAAGCCATCAGAGGTGACTGGTCCCTTGAATCTCTGCCAAGATGTACCCTTTTAACTTTTCACTTGAGACTGCATTTATAAATTATAGACCTATAATTTGTTTATTCATTTAATTTTTACTTGCATTGTGAAAACCAAAAAATCTGTGACTATTAGCCCTTGGCAACTAATGGGGCTTTGGAATACTGGGCAGTCCCCAACAATCTGTAATAAGAGTCAAACATAATTTTAAGTATATGGCTTAAGAATGTTGTACAAATTGTTGATGTTGACTGTGCCACAAAAAATAGTTTAGTCAAAAATGAAAGATTCATATGCCAAAGCAGAAATAGTCATAATATTTAAAAATTTCTATATACATAGTTGTGAAATATGTTTGTATTGTTTAATAAAATTACAACAATGAGTAAAGTTACTCTATCCTGTAACTATCAACTCGCCAAAACAACCAACCAGTGGAACTTACCGAAAATAATTATAGCCCCTTGCAACCATATATGATTAGGAGGGCAACACATTCTTCATGCACAGTAGATCTCCATAAGGGGGGGGGGGTCATTCATGGTAACCATGGTTTCTTGG